GGGGACGGTGGGAGGGCATCTGACACAGGGATAACGGAGAATAGGACCAGATCTGACTCACGGGGACGGGAGGGCATCTGACTCACTCGTACGCCTAAATCTACAACATATTTCCATTTATTTGCTTTTCTTTACTCATTTAAACTCCATTAAACCCAAACTCAACCCTTCCTCGCGCGCCGCTGCCCCTTCACGTCTTTACGCACGGATTACGCACGGCGGCTCCGGCGCACCTCCGGAGCCGCGGCCCTCACGGCGCCTCTGAGCCCGCCTCCCGAGCCCCATCCCCCGGCCTCGGCGCTCGGGTCCTCCCGGTCCAAAACGTGACACGGGTCGGTTGTGTGACAGGTCACGTGACGGCAGCCTCGTTGATCCGGAAGGAGGAGGGGGCTCGTGCCACCGACACCGCGTAAAGGCGCCGCGAGGAGGGAGAGGCGCGCCGGAAACGGAGCGAGGGCTTTCACAATAAAAGTCCGTTACGCGTTTGATGTTTTTGTTCTGTTGACATCACAACACTGGAGAATCCCCGGTTTAAACATCCGATATTACGTAAAATTAACTGTCTCCACATCTCCAGAATGAGTGTCTTTACATCCAAACCTAAAAATGCTCCGTTCCACCTTGTGATGTCATGAAATTATCAAAATTATTCGAATGAAGCGGTATTTTCCTTTATTACGACATGACAACATTGTAGAATACGCAGTTTAGACGTCCGATATTACGCAAAATTAACCGAATGTTGTTAGTGTCTCTACGTCTCCAAACCTAAAAATGCATCGTCCCACTTTGTGATGTCATGAAATTATCCAAATTATTCAAATGAAGCGATATGTTCCTGTATTACGACATGACACCACAACATTGCAGAATACGCAGTTTAGACATCCGATATTACGCAAAATTAACTGAATTTTTTCAGTATCTCTACATCTTCAAAGCTAAAGATGCTTAGTCCCACCTTGTGATGTCATGAAATTATCCAAATTATTCAAATGAAGCGGTATGTTCCTGTATTACAACATGACACCACAACATTGTAGAATACGCAGTTTAAATGTCCGATATTACGCAAAATTAACCAAAAGTTGTTTGTGTCTCTACGTCTCTAAAGCTAAAAATGGGTCGTCCCACTTTGTGATGTCATGAAATTATCCAAATTATTCAAATTATTCGAATGAAGCGATATGTTCCTGTTTTACGACATGACATCACAACATTGTAGAATACGCAGTTTAAATGTCCGATATTACGCAAAATTAACGTTAATGTTGTTAGTGTCTCTACGTCGCCAAAGATAAAAATGTGCCGTTCCACCTCGTGACGTCATGAGGTTGAACAGCTCCTTTTACACTTTCTTCGAAGAAAAGAAGCAAAGACAATTCCAGATCTGAAATGATCCAAATTAACAAAAAACAGTTGGTGAAGATTTACGCCAGAGAAAGTTACGTAGTGCATCTTTAAAAGTCGGTTAGAGCCACGAGAAACGTCACGGTGATAATAATATTTTCATGACAGGAGAGCGGAGCTGCGAGACTCTTTTTATTTTATTTTTTATGAGTCATATTTTATTTTAACGTCGTGTGAAAGAGTCCAGCCTCGGCTCCGGCTCCGTCCAAACCGGCCTCCAATAAAATCTGATCTGAAAGTCCAAAACCACGAGCAGAATCTGGACCTGGAGCCGGACCAGAACCAGAACCAGACACAGACACAGACCAGAGGAGAGAACAGACTCAGGATACACGGTTTATAACACACAAGTCCTGGTCTGGGTCTGGTTTAGTCCCGGTTCGGGCCTGTTTTAATTCTGGTCTAGTCCTGGTTTGGTCCTAGTTTGGTCCTGGTTTAGTCCTAATGTAGAAATGGTTTGTCCTTTTTTAGTCCTGTTTTAGTCCTGTCCTGTAGTCCTGGTTTAGTCCTGCTCTAGTTCTGGTAAAGCCGAAAGAAGAAGAAATCCTGTCCTAGTCCTGTTTTAGTCCTGGTTTAGTCCTGTTTTAGTCCTGGTTTAGTCCTGGTTTAGTTCTGGTTTAGTCCTAAAGGAGAAATGGTTTAGTTCTGCACTAGTCCTGTTTTAATCCTGCTCTAGTCCTGTTTTAGTCCTGGTTCGGTCATGTTTTGGTCCTGGTTTAGTCCTGGTCTAGTTCTGGTTTGGTCCTAGTTTGGTCCTGGTTTAGTCCTAATGTAGAAATGGTTTGTCCTTTTTTAGTCCTGGTTTAGTCCTGCTCTAGTTCTGGTAAAGCCGAAAGAAGAAGAAATCCTGTCCTAGTTCTGTTTTAGTCCTGGTTTGGTCATGTTTTGGTCCTGGATTAGTCCTGGTTTGGTTCTAGTTTGGTCCTGGTTTAGTCCTATGTAGAAATGGTTTGTCCTTTTTTAGTCCTGTCCTAGTCCTGTTTTAGTCCTGGTTTAGTTCTGGTTTAGTCCTAAATGAAAAATGGTTTAGTTCTGCTCTAGTCCTGTTTTAGTCCTGGTTCGGTCATGTTTTGGTCCTGGTTTAGTCCTGGTCTAGTTCTGGTTTGGTCCTAGTTTGGTCCTGGTTTAGTCCTAATGTAGAAATGGTTTTTCCTTTTTTAGTCCTGGTTTAGTCCTGCTCTAGTTCTGGTTAAATCCTAAAAAAGAAATGGTGTAGTCCTGTTTTAGTCCTGGTTCGGTCGTGGCTCAGTTCTGGTTTAGTCCTGAAGAATAAATGGTTTAGATCTGTATTAGTCCTGTTCTAGTTTTGTTTTAGTTCTGGTTCATGTCCTGGTTTAGTCCTGGTTTGGGCCTGGTTTAGACCTAGGTTAGACCTGGGTTAGACCTGGGTGAGTCCTGGTTTAGTCCTGGTTTGGACCTGGGTAGGTCCTAGTGTATACTTGGTTTATACCTAACATCAGTTCTAGTTTAGACCTGGTTTAGTCCTTGTTTAGACCTGGTTTGGATCTGGTTTAATCCCGGGTTAGGCTTGGGTCAGTCCTGGTTTAGTTCTGGTTTGAATCTGGTTTAGACTGTGGTTTTAAGGTTTAGTCCTGGTTTAATCCTGGGTTAGACATAAGTTAGACCTGGGTCAGTTTTGGTGTAGTTCTTGTTTGGACCTGGTATGGACCTGATTTAATTCTGGGTTAGATCTGGGTCAGTCCTGGTTTATACTAGGTTTAGACCTGGTTTAGACCTGGTTTAATTCTGAGTTAGACCAGGGTCAGTCCTGGTTTAGGCCACAGTTTTAAGGTTTAGTCCTGGTTTAGTCCTGGTTTCGACCCTGGGTTACACCTGGGTCAGTCCTGGTTTAGTCCGGGTTTATACTTGGATTAGACCTAATTTGGTTTTAGTTTAAACCTGCTTTAGTCCTTGTTTAAAACTGGTTTGGAACTGGTTTAATCTTGGGTTAGACTTGGGTGAGATGTAGACTAGGTTTAGACCTGGTTTAGGGTTGGTTTAGACCTGGTTTAATCCTGGTTTGGAGCTAGTTTAGGCCTTGGTTTTAAGTTTAGTCCTGGTTTAGACCCTAGTTTAATGCTGGGTGAGACCTGGGTCAGTCCTCAGTTCAGTCCTTTGTTCAGTCCTGGTTTAGTCCTGGTTTAGTCCTGGTGTATACTTAGACCTAATTTAGTTCTAGTTCAGACCTGGTTTGAGCCTGGTTTTATCCTGGGTTAGATCTGGGTCAGTCCTGGTTCAGTCCTGGTTTAGACCTGGGTTAGGCATGGGTCAGTCTTTGTTTAGACCTGGTTTAGACCTGGTGTAGTCCTGGTTTAAGACGTGGTTTAATCCTGGGTCAGTCCTGGTTCAGTCCTGGTTTATACTTGGTTTAGTCCTGGTTTGGACCTGGTTTAGTCCTGGTTTTAAGGTTTCAGAACATTTGGATAACAGACGCTTGAAACCCGTGGAGCGGAGGACGGGAGGGCATCTGACACACACCCCAAAACCACCAAACCCTCCCAAACATCTACATCAGGCATGTCCAAACTACGGCCCGTGGGCCAAATGCGGCCCGCGGACAAATTTTTCTTGGCCCTCAGGCTTCCAGGTGACTTGGCCCAAATTACCTTACGTCATTTAAAAATTTACTTTTTACTGCAAGTTTTCAGAAAATCTACTTTGATAAAGTGAATATTGAAGATTTGGTGTGTGGATTTGAGGATTTTAGCGTGAATAAAGACTGACGGCTCATTCTAAAGCAGAGGTGTCAAACTTATTTGGTCCGGGGGCCGTATCCAACCGACTTTGATCCCAAAGTGTCCGGATCAGAAAACTCATGTCATATAAACCCCAAAAATAACAATAAGTTCAAATATTTGTGCAGAGAAACACAAATCTATTACAGAAATCTTTTTAAATTGATGAACTCTTTCTTTTACAAAATATTATAATATTATAAACAACCTGAAACTTTAAGAAAAATACAATTTCAACACAAAGTTTTAACATGAACTTGTATAAAATTAACTTGTAGAAACAGGAATAAGTCAATTTTGATTGTAAAATCCTGCACTCGGCTCCACTTTTCTCATGTTGGACATTTTTCTGATGAGGGTGTCACGGTCAACAGTCAAAACGATCGTCCTTTAAGAGCGTTTGGAAAGAGACAAGTCTTCATTTGTGCTGCTCTGGTGGGAGGGGCCACGTACAGAGACGCTGGAGACGCTGCTGTGATAAACACCACAGAAAATTAACAAGATTTTAATAGAAAATATAATTAAAATATTTTAGTAGAAAATCAGCCGAGGGCCAGATTAAAGGTCTTGGAGGGCCGGATCTGGCCCCCTGGCCACATGTTTGACACCTGTGCTCTAAAGTGTTAAACATGCACGTATTTCAATTATTCACTGTACTGAGCTCCCGTCTACGTCCCTCGATCGTCCCTCTGCTTCGAATGTGTTTAGAAATGTGGCCTTTAATGAAAAAAGTTTGGACACCAATGATCTACATCAACCCGTGAAGAATCGTGCGTTTAACGTGATCTTTTACTTTGAAACTCCCGTCCCGGAAACGCGCCGTGCACCCCGCGCTCTTCACGCGCTCCGGGTCCAGTCCAGCTGCATTCCTCTCCGCTCCGAAGCCTGGCGGAGCGACAGAGAAAAGCGCCGAGGCCCGAGCTCACGAATCCTGCCCCGCCGCCGCCGCCACCGCCGCCGCCGCCGCTCCTTCCACCGTCCCCCGCTCGGACTCGCCCCTCCTCGGACGCTCGGACACTCGGAACTCGGACTAAAAGGCTCAACGCGGGTCTACGGATGCAAAAACGCGCCGCTGTGGCTGATCCTAAACGCGAACCTGCCACCGCTTCACCAACATTTTTTTTTTCCTGCTACGATTTTCTATTATTTCCTACGAGGATTTTGCAAGATGGCTTCTGAAACCGCGATATAGCGTCGAGGAAAAAGAAGAACACCACAACTCGACGTCCCGTTTTAGCACAGCGGGGGCATTATCGCGTTTTTTTTTTTTTTTTTTTTTTTTTTTTTCCTTCTTCTTCTTCCTCCGAGCCACGCTTCGTTAACATGGCCCTTTTCGCGAACAATGTCCAATTCTCGCTTTAAAACCCGCAATTTATGGGTCTCGGGTTGCGCCGGAGCGATGGCGAGGTGACGTACTCTCGCCAAATTACGCGTTTTAAGTGGATTTGCGAGACGCCGAAGCGAACGCACGCGCGCCGAACACGAACCGAGCCCGATTTTGGCGATAAAACTGAGATTCCAATCGATAAATCTTGAGTTGTTGGGTTTTTTTTTTTTTTTTTTTTTTTTTTTTCGGTTTTTTTTTTTTTTTTTTTTGGAGAGCGCTGCGAGGCGGAGTGAGCCCCGACCAACATTCCAGCGGATGCCCGATCGTCTTTGTTTTGCACGCAGGGACCGTGGACTCTCGGAGCGATTATCTATGCAGTAAATACCCCGATACGACTGCGCCGGCTATGATTTGACATGTTACGTGATTGAAGCGCCATTGTTTGGGCCCTAAACATAAACAGAAAACTACGCTGGGCCTAAACTCGCTCGTTCGCTCGCCTCTTTTTTTCGCTTTTACTGTAGCGACATGCGAGACGTGCCACATCGCTACGTTATTATTATTCATGAACGCTGCGAGCATTCGTATTAGCCCACTTTTTTGTCTCTTTTCGCGGCTCCCGATTGCGCATTTTCGCATAGCCCCGACGCCAAATCCGTGAATTTATCGGATTTTCAGTACCAGGAGGGTGTGGGGTGAATGCGCAGGGTTTTTACGCAGTGTTTTGGGCTTTTTTTTTTGGTCCGGGTAAGTCGCTCGGGTCGGGATACGCGGGGCGGCTCGGCTCGGCTCGGCACACGACGTCGCCGAATGGTTACGCGAACTGGTCGTGCTGAATTTTTAACGTTAACCGCTCGTGGGTTCCCGTAAATGCCTCTTCGTTCTGTCGCCATAACCGTGACGGCCTACTTCGCTCGAAAGGAGGGCCGTTACTGGAAGTAGGAAGCGTCACCCACTCGCGAAAAGCGGAAAGCACCCAGGTACTACCATCGTTTTTATCGTTTTTTCTTTCTTTTTTCTTTTTTTTTTTTCTTGGGAGAGTTGAGATTTCTTCTTTTTTGTTGTGGGGGGGATGGGGGGCCGGACTTAGCGTCACGTTGCAGCAGAAGCGGCACTCGTCTGTCAACTGAGCATCCGGTGTGGTCCGAGCGCGAGGGACACGCGCATTTCACAAGGTACGTGGAAAAAACACGGACTAAAAGCTCTGGGGGGTTTGGAGTTTGGGGGGTTTGGTTCAGGTCCCCAAGTCAGACCCGGGTTAGATCGAGGTCAGGGCTGGTTTAGTCCTGGTTTAGACCTGATGCGCGTTTGGTTTAGACCTCATTTAGTCCTTGTTTAGACCTGGTTTGGATTTGGTTTAATTATGGGTTAGACCTGGGTCAGTCCTGGTTTAGACCTGGTTCAGTCCTGGTTAGACCCTGGTTTCATCCTGGTTAGACCTTGTTTTAGACCTGTTTTAGACCTGGGTTAGACCTGGGTTAGACCTGGTTTCAGTCCTGGTTTCAGTCCTGGTTTATACTTGGTTTAGTCTTGGTTTACGTCTGGTTTTAGGTTTAGTCCTGGTTTAGACCTGATGTGCGTTTGGTTTAGACCTTTTAGTTTTGTTTAGACCTGGTTTGGACTTGGTTTAATTATGGGTTAGACCTGGGTCAGTCCGGGTTTAGACCTGGTTTAGACCTGGTTTAGACCTGTTTTAGACCTGGGTTAGACCCTGGTTTCATCCTGGGTTAGACCTGGTTCAGTCCTGGTTTAGTCTTGGTTTAGGTTGTGGTTTTAAGGTTTAGTCCTGGTTTAGACCTGATGTGCGTTTGGTTTAGACCTCATTTAGTCCTTGTTTAGACCTGGTTTGGATTTGGTTTAATTATGGGTTAGACCTGGGTCAGTCCGAGTTTAGACCTGGTTTAGGCCGTGGTTATAACGTTTAGTCCTGGGTTAGACCTGTTTTAGACCTGGGTTAGACCCTGGTTTCATCCTGTTTTAGACCTGGGTCAGTCCTGGTTTAGTCCTGGTTTATATTTGGTTTAGTCCTAGTTTAGACATGGCTTTAGTCCTGGTTTAGTCCTGGTTTGGACCTGGTTTAGACCCTGGTTTCATCCTGGGTTAGACCTGGGTCTGTCCTAGTTTAGACCTGGTTTATATTTGATGTAGACCTGGTTTAGACCTGGTTTGGAACTGGTTCAGTTTGGGGGTAGACCTGGGTCAGTCCTGGTTTATACTTAGTTTAGACATGGTTTAGTCCTGGTTTAGTCCTGGTTTGGACCTGGTGTTTGCTTGGTTTAGACCTCATTTAGTCCTGATTTAGACTCTGGTTTAATTTTGGGTTAGATCTGGGCCAGTCTTGGTTTAGTCCTGGTTTATACTTGGTTTAGGCCGTGGTTTTAAGGTTTAGTCCTGTTTTAGTCCTGGTTTAGACCCTGATTTAATATGGGGTTAGACCTGGGTCAGTCTGGATTTAGTCCCGGTTTAGACCTGGTTTTGTTTTGGTTTAGGTTTAGTCCTGGTTTAGAACCGGGTTAGACCTGGGTCAGTCTGTGTTTTGTCCTGGTTTAGTTCATGGTTTTAAGGTCTACTCCTGGTTTAGACCTGGTTTAGTCCTGGTTTAGTCCAGGTTTAGTTTGAAGATGAATAAATAATGCAGTTGTGTCTTCATTACTGGTTTATCCCTGAACCATAATCTTATATTCACAGGCCCTAGTCCTGGTTCAGTCCTGGTTTAGTCCTGGTTTAGTCCTGGTTTAGTCCTAATATAGACCCTGGTTAGACCTGATTTAGTCCTGGGTTAGTCCTCTGATTGCAAATGAGTTTCATCATTGACATTTGACATTCCTCATAATTTGCCCTGGCTCTGGTCCAGACCTGGATTTGACCTGGTTTATATTTGGTTGAGTCCTGGTTGAGTCCTGGTTGAGTCCTGGTTGAGTCCTGGTTGAGTCCTGGTTGAGTCCTGGTTTAGTCCTGGTTTAGTCCTGGGTTAGTCCTATCTTAGACCTGGTTTAAGATTAGTAAATTTGAGTTTGATCATTGACGTCTGACATTTTTTGTACCTTGCCCCGGCTCTGGTTCAGACCTGGTTTAGATCTGGTTTAGACTTGGTTTAGACCTGGTTTAGACCTGGTTGGGTTCTGGGTTAGACCTCGGTTTGGTCTTTGATAAATGAGTAATGAATGCATAATGCAGAAGTCATGTCTGTGTTCAGTCCGGGTTCTTGTTTAGACCTGGTTTAGTCCTAATTAGGGTTACACCTAGTTGGTCCAAACCTGGTTTAGTCCTGGTTTAGATCTGGGCTAGTCCTGGTTTAGACTCAGGTTAGTCTTGATTTAGTCCCAGGTTAGTCCTGGTTTAGAGCTGAGTAAATCCTGGTTTAGATCCAGGTTATTCCTGGTTTAGACCTGGATTAGTACTTGTTTAGTCCTGGTTCAGTCCTGGTTTAGTCCTGGTTTAGTCCTGGTTTAGACCTGGTTTAGTCCTGGTTTAGTCCTGGTTTAGTCCTGTTTAGTCCCTGGTTTAGACCTGGTTTAGTCCTGGTTTAGTCCTGGTTTAGACCTGGTTTAGACCTGGTTTGGTCCTGGTTTAGTCCTTGTTTAGTCCTGGTTTAGTCCTGGTTTAGTCCTGGTTTAGTCCGGTTTAGACTGGTTTAGTCCTGGTTTAGTCCTTGTTTAGACCTGGTTTAGTCCTGGTTTAGTCCTTGTTTAGACCTGGTTTAGTCCTGGTTTAGTCCTTGTTTAGACCTGGTTTAGACCCGGTTTAGTCCTGGTTTAGACCTGGTTTAGACCTGGTTTAGTCCTGGTTTAGTCCTGGTTTAGACCTGGTTTAGTCCTGGTTTAGTCCTGGTTTAGTCCTTGTCTAGACCTGGTTTAGACCCAGTTTAGTCCTGGTTTAGACCTGGTTTAGTCCTGGTTTAGTCCTTGTTTAGACCTGGTTTAGACCTTTAGACCTGGTTTAGACCCGGTTTAGTCCTGGTTTAGTCCTGGTTTAGACCTTGTTTAGTCCTGGTTTAGTCCTTGTTTAGACCTGGTTTAGTCCTGGTTTAGTCCTGGTTTAGTCCTGGTTTAGTCCTTGTTTAGACCTGGTTTAGACCCGGTTTAGTCCTGGTTTAGTTCTCGGATGGTCCTGCCTTAAAGGAGTAAAATGACTCATGACATTTGACACATAACGAGATCTAATTTAATCTTGGAAATCTGGATTCATTTAAAACTAAATCTTGGTTAATCCCGTAAAGGCCTCACATCCTCTGGCTCTGGTTCAGACCTGGGTTGGTCCTGGTTTAGACCTGGTTTAGTTCTGGATTAGACCTCATTTAGTTTGGTCATTGATTGATGAATATTGAATACAAAATGTCACGTCTTACATTCGGTTTTCATTCCTGCTTCTTTTGTACTTAAACACTGGAACATATGGCTCTGGGTTAGTCCTGGTTTAGTCCTGGTTTAGATCTGGGTTAGTCCTGGTTTAGATCTGGGTCAGTCCCGGGTTTGTCTTGGGTTGGACTTTAAAACGAGTAAAATGACTCATGACATTTGACACATAACGAGATCTAATTTAATCCTGCGAATCTGGATTCATTTAAAACTAAATCTTGGTAAATCCCATAAAAGCCTCACATTCTCTGGTTTAGTCCTGGTTTAGACCTGGTTTAGACCTGGTTTAGACCTGGGTTAGTCCTGGTTTAGACCTGGTTTAGACCTGGTTTAGACCTGGTTTAGTCCTGGTTTAGACCTGGTTTAGACCTGGTTTAGACTCCTGGTTTTTAGACCTGGTTTAGACCTGGTTTAGTCCTGGTTTAGACCTGGTTTAGACCTGGTTTAGTCCTGGTTTAGTCCTGGTTTAGACCTGGTTTAGACCTGGTTTAGTCCCTGGTTTAGACCTGGTTTAGTCCTGGTTTAGACCTGGTTTAGACCTGGTTTAGACCCTGGTTTAGACCCTGGTTTAGACCTGGTTTAGTCCTGGTTTAGTCCTGGTTTAGTCCTGGTTTAGTCCTGGTTTAGACCTGGTTTAGACCTGGTTTAGTCCTGGTTTAGACCTGGTTCAGACCTGGTTTAGTTCTGGTTCAGACCTGAGTTAGTCCTGGTTTAGTCCTGGTTTAGACCTGGTTTAGTCCTGGTTTAGTCCTGGTTCAGTCCTGGTTTAGTCCTGATTTAGTCCTGGTTTCAGTCCTGGTTCAGTCCTGGTTTAGTCCTGTTTATTCCTGGTTCAGTTCTGGTTTAGTCCTGGTTTAGACCTGGTTTAGACCTGGTTTAGACCTGGTTTACTCCTGGTTTAGACCTGGTTTAGACCTGGTTTAGTCCTGGTTTAGACCTGGTTTAGACCTGGTTTAGTCCTGGTTTAGACCTGGTTTAGTCCTGGTTTAGACCTGGTTTAGTCCTGGTTTAGACCTGGTTTAGAGTTCTGGTTCAGACCTGAGTTAGTCCTGGTTTACTCCTGGTTTAGTCCTGGTTCAGTCCTGGTTCAGTCCTGGTTTAGTCCTGCCTGGTTCAGTCTTGGTTCAGTCTTGGTTCAGTCCCTGGTTCAGTCCTGGTTCAGTCTGGTTCAGTCCTGGTTTAGTCCTGGCTCAGTCTTGGTTCAGTTCTGGTTTAGTCTGGTTTAGACCTGGTTCAGACTTGGGTGAGTCCTGGTTTAGACCTGGTTCAGATCAGGGTTAGTCCTGGGATTTTCCTGGTTCTGAATCCCGGTTATTCCAGTTTTCCGGCTCTTTCTCTTTCATTTATTCGTCCTCAGACGTTCAGGGACTTTCCTCGATTAAAAATAAAAAATAAAAAACCCCACGAGCGTCTGTGCGCTGAGGAGTGAAGCAGTTTATCTCAGAACAGCTGCAGACTCCAGAGACCAGGAGAAAAACAAAAAACAAAAAAAAAAAATTAAAAATACAATTCCTCTGATTTACTCCAAAATGTGTGAAGGAAAAAAACAAAACAGAATTAGATAAAAGATTTTAACGGAGAAAGTAAAAAAGTCTGAAATAAATGTTGTTCTTTTACTTATCAATGAGTCAAACGATTATTTTTATCGCAAATTTAGATTTTTGAAAAACTTTTTAACCAGGTAAAGTTAAATTTGAGGCTTTAGGATCAAAATTGTTGAGAAATAAATCGTTAAATTTAAGGTTTAATCGAATTTTGTTCCCAGTAGAAGGCAAATGTGAAACTTGGCTCCTCCCTCCTCCCTGGCTCCTCCCCCTTTCCTTCACCTAACCCCTCCCACTTCCTTCACCTGGTTCCTCCTCCTTCCTCACTTGGACCTTCCTCCTTCCTTCTTCTTCACTTGGACCCTTCCTCCTTCCTCACATGGTTCCTTCCTCACTTGGCCCCTTCCTCCTTCCTCACTTGGACCCTTCCTCTTCCTCCTCCTCTTCCTTCTTCCTCGCTTACTTTCCTCCTTCCTCACTTGGACCCTTCCTCCTTCCTCACTTGGACCCTTCCTCCTTCCTCACTTGGACCTTCCTTCCTCCTTCCTCACTTGGCCCCTTCCTCCTTCCTCACTTGGACCCTTCCTCCTTCCTTCTTCCTCACTTGGACCCTTCCTCCTTCCTCACTTGGATCCTTCCTCCTTCCTCACTTGGACCCTTCCTCCTTCCTCCTTCGTCACTTGGCCCCTTCCTCCTTCCTCACTTGGACCCTTCCTCCTTCCTCACTTGGACCCTTCCTCCTTCCTCACTTGGCCCTTCCTCCTTCCTCACTTGGCCCCTTCCTCCTTCCTTCACTTGGACCCTTCCTCCTTCTCACTTGGACCCTTCTTCCTCTGGTTCCTTCCTCACTTGGCCCTTCCCTTCCTCACTCCTTCCTTCCTCCTTGGACCTTCCTCCTCCTTGGACCTTCCTTCCTCCTTCCTCCTTCCTCACTTGGACCTTTCCACTCCTTCCTCCTTCCTCACTGCCCCTTCCTCGCTTCCTTCCCTTCCTCACTTGGACCTTCCTCCTTCCTTGGACCCTTCCTCCTTCTCACTTGGACCCTTCCTCACTTGGATCTTCCTCCTTCCTTCACTTGGCCCCTTCCTCCTTCCTTCACTTGGCTCCTTCCTCCTTCCTTCACTTGGCTCCTTCCTCCTTCCTTCACTTGGCCCCTCCCCCTCTCCTCACCTGTCCTGTGTTCATATTCACCTGTAACTCACCGGTTACATCACAGCAGTAACACCGGGAGCATCTAGTGGTGAAATGTGAGAATACAACAGGAGCGGGTCGACTTTAATAACGGCACAAGACTCACGCTCAAATATGAAGCTCCAAGTTCACCGCTCTGACTCAGTCCACGTCTTTATTCAGACTGTGGTCGGGCGTAATTACACTTTAAAGGTTTTATATAAATAAAATGGTTTCTTGTGAATTTTTAGCTGCATTAGAACGTAGTTTCTTGTTTCATTCACACTTGTTTGAGCAAAATACCTCAAAATGTTCCTTAGTGTTTGGCAATTCCAGGTCTGAAATTCTCCAAATGATTCAAGTGAAGGTGTTTCGGCCTAAATCTGCAGAGTTTGTGTTTTAAACGTGTGAATGAAACTAAACTCCAGGTCTGTTTGTGATGAGGGAACGACATTAGTGTGATATGGTCCTTTTTCTCCCTCAGGTCCTTGCGCCCTCCTCCGGCACCATGACGTCTCCAGATCTCGCCGAGTCCTGGAGGAACTGTTTTGAGGAGGAGCTGATCTGTCCCATCTGTCTGCACGTTTTCTCCGAGCCCATCCAGCTGCCCTGCAAACACAACTTCTGCCGCGGCTGCATCAGCGAAGCCTGGGCCAAAGATTCCACGGTGACCCGCTGCCCCGAGTGTAACCATGGTTACGCCCAGAAGCCCACCCTCGAGAAGAACCACAAACTCTCCAACATCGTGGAGAAATACAACGCCCTGAGCGTGGAGAAGACCTCCACTCCGGTTTTACAGTGTATCTTGTGTCGGCGCGGCCCCCCTCTGCCCGCGGTGAAGGTTTGCCTGCGCTGCAACGCCCCCTGCTGCCAGTCGCACGTACAGACGCACCTGCAGCAGCCCTGCTCCGCCCTCGGGCACCTGCTGGTGGAGGCGGGCGCCGTGAAGGCCTGGACCTGCCCCCAGCACGACGAGTACCGCCTGTACCACTGCGACGCCGAGCAGACCGCCGTGTGCCAATACTGCTGCTTCGCCCGCTGCCACCCCACCCACGGGCACGCGGTCAGCGACGTGGAGCTGCGCCGCAACGACATACGGGTGAGACGCACGGACGCACGGACGCACGGGAGGAGGAGAGATGCACCACATCAACACTGGGACTAAACCCTAAACTAAACAGAACTACATAAGGACTAAATCTAGACTAAACATGGACTAAACTTGGACTAGACCAGAACTAAACCTGGATTAAAACATGACATAAACTGAAATAAACTTGGACTAGACCAGGACTAAAATATGATTTAAACTGGACTGAATCATGACTAAACCTGGACTAAATTTGGACAAGACTAGGACTGAACTAGATCTGGGCTAGACCTGGGCTAGACCTGGGCTAGACCTGGGCTAGACCTGGACTAGACCAGGACTAAATAAGGACTAGACAGGACTAAACCATGACTTAAACTGGACTAAACGTGGATTAAACCTGGACTAAAACATGATTTAAATGGGAATAAACCTGGACTAAATTTGGACAAGACTAGGACTAAATAAAGAATAGACCTGGACTATACCTGAACTAGACCTGGACTAGACCAGGACTAAATAAGGACTAGACTAGACTAAACATGGACTAAACTTGGACTAGAACAGGATTAAATAAAGACTAAACAGCACTAGACAGGACTAAACTAGGACTGAACCTGGACTAAAACATGACTTAACCTGGACTAAACCAGGACCACACAAGGACTAAACCCAAAACGGCGGTTTTAAAGAGGAACTAAGCACCTAAACTGATAGTGAGGAGGGAGGAGGGGCTGTTCCACCTTTTGTTCAGGAGAGATTTGGCAGCTCGAGCTCTGAAATGACCCAGATGATTCAAGTGAAGGTGTGTGGAGTTTAAAAACACAGTGGAGCACTTCCTGTATCACCACATGATGACATCACAACGTGGAACAGAGTTTGGGAAAAGAAACTCATTGCCTCAGTTTTGAGGGTTTAAACCTGGACTAAACTTGGACTAGACCAGGATTAAGTAAGAATTAGACAGGACTAAACCTGGACAAAAACATGATTTAAAATGGACTTAACCTGGACTAAACCTGGACTAGACCTGGACTAAATATGGACTAAAACATGATTTAAACTGGACTAAATCTAGACTAAACCTGGACTAAAACATGATTTAAAATGGATTTAACCTGGACTAAACCTGGACTAGACCTGGATTAAGCCTTGACTAAAACTGGACTAAATCTGGACTAAATCTGGACTATACCTGGATTAAGCCTTGACTAAAACTGGACTAAATCTGGACTAAACCTGGACTAAACTTGGACTAGACCTGGACTAAATATGGACTAAAACATGTTTTAATCTGGACTAAAACATGACTTAAAATGGATTTAACCTGGATTTAACCTGGACTAAACCTGGACTGAACCTGGATTAAACCTGGACTAAACCTTGACTAGACCTGGATTAAGCCTGGACTAAACCTGGACTAGACCTGGACTAAACCTGGACTAAGCCTGGACTAAACCTGGGCTAAACCTTGACTAGACCTGGACTAAGCCTGGACTAAGCCTGGACTAAACCTGGACTAAACCTGGACTAAACCTGGACTAAACCTAGACTAAATGTAGACTAAACCTGGACTAAACCTGGACCTGGACTAATCCTGGACTAAGACTGGACTAAGACTGGACTAAGCCTGGACTAAGCCTGGACTAAGCCTGGACTAAATCTGGACTAAATCTGGACTAAACCTGGGCTAAATCTTGACTAGACCTGGACTAAGCCTGGACTAAACCTGGAACTGGACTAAACCTAGACTAAATGTAGACTAAACCTGGACTAAACCTGGACTGGACTAAACCTGGACTAAACCTGGACTAAGCCTGGACTAAGCCTGGACTAAGCCTGGACTACACCTGGACCTAGACTAATCCTGGACTAAACCTGGACTAAGACTGGACTAAACCTGGACTAAACCTGGACTAAACCTGGACTAAAACATGTGTGAATAAAATAAAACACATCTCCAGGTTTGTTTTATAATAACAGATCAGAAAATATCGTAAAGTTCTATAAATAAATGAATAAATATTAAAATAAATATAAAAACTGAACATAAAACCCTGGAGTAAAGGGAGTAAAACCTCCAGCTCGACGGTCGGTTCAGACTTTCGCTCTGGAGTTTGTCAAATGGACGTTTTCAGTGGTGTTTTTTTGTTTTTTTGTTTTTTTTTGTGTTGGAATCACAAACAAACAAAACAGACGAGCAGCACAATGAGGCTCTGGTCTTATCTGCCCAACACAGGTGCACCTCCTCACCGAGGGGGGGGGGACCACCGGGACCGAGGGGGGGGGGGGACGAGGGACCACGAGGACCGGGGGGGAGGGGGACCACGAGGACCACACCGGGGGGGCGAACACTGAGGAGGGGGGGGCAGGGACGCCGAGTGCCGATGGGGTGGGGTCCTGGTTTAGTTCTAATTTACTTCTGGTTTAGTCCTGGTTTAGTCCTGGTTCAGTCCTGGTTTAGTCCTGATCTAATCCTGGTTTAGTCCTGGTTTTAGTCCAGTTTTAGTCCTGGTTCTAGTCCTGGTTCAGTCCTCATTTAGACCTGGTACAGTCCTGGTTGAGACTTGATCTAGCACTGGTTAAATCCTGATTTAATCCTGGTTTAGCCCCGTTTCACTCCTGGATCAGTCCAAGTTCAAACATGGTTTAGCGCTAGTTTAGTCCTGATTTAGTCCTGGTTTAATCCTGATTTAGTCCTGGTTTAGTCCTGATTTTAGTTCTGCTTTAGTCCTGGTGTAGTCCTGGTTTAGTCCTGGTTTAGTCCTGATTTAGTCCTGGTTTAATCCTGATTTAGTCCTGATTTAGTCCTGGTTTAGTCCTGGTTTAGTCCTGGTTTTAGTCCTGGTTCAGTCCTGGTTTAGTCCTGGTTTAGACCTGGTTCAGTCCTGGTTTAGTCCTGTTTTAGTCCTGGTTTAAGTCCTGGTTTTTAGTCCTGGTTTTAGTCCTGGTTTAGTCCTGGTTTAGTCCTGGTTCAGTCCTGGTTTAGTCCTGGTTTAGTCCTGGTTTAGTCCTGGTTTAGTCCTGGTTTAGTCCTTTTATAACACGTGATTTGTGTTTTTTCAGTATCAGATTCTTTCAAAATCAGACAGAACATTTTGTATTTCCTGATTTGAGTCAAATAGGCCCCGTTCTGAATTTGTAATGATGACATCACTTCCTGTAATGATGACATCACTTCCTGTAATCATGACATCACTTCCTGCGGTGATTCTTGTGACGTCAGTGTCTCTCGCTCCGTCTCTGGTCAGTTTAGTCACAGGAAGTTTTCATCTATGAGTCACAGAACGAGAAGAACATTTCACAATGATCATAAAGTCCAAGACCAGGACTGAACCAGGACTGAACCAGGACTAAATCCAGGACTCAACCAGGACTGAACCAGGACTGAACCAGGACTAAACCAGGACTAAAACCAGGACTGAAAAACCAGGACTAAAACCAGGACTGAACCAGGACTGAACCAGGACTAAAACCAGGTCTGAACCAGGCCTAAACCAGGACTGAACCAGGACTGAACCAGGACGACTGAACCAGGACTGAACCAGGACTAAACCAGGACTAAAACCAGGACTGAACCAGGACTGAACCAGGACTAAAACCAGGACTGAACCAGGACTGAACCAGGACTAAAACCAGGACTAAACCAGGACTGAACCAGGACTGAACCAGGACTAAACCAGGACTAAAACCAGGACTTGAACCAGGACTGAACCAGGACTGAACCAGGACTGAACCAGGACTAAAACCAGGTCTGAACCAGGTTAAACCAGGACTGAAACCAGGACTGAACCAGGACGGAACCAGGACTAAAACACGACTAAAACTAGGACTAAAAACTAGGACTAAACAGGACTAAACCAGGACTGAACCAGGACTGAACCAGGACTAAAACCAGGAACTAAAACCAGGTCTGAACCAGGTCTAAACCAGGACTGAACCAGGACTGAACAGGACTAAAACAGGACTGAACCAGGACTAAAACCAGGACTAAAACCAGGACTGAACCAGGTCTAAACCAGGACTAAAACAGGACTAAATCTTGTCCAGGAAACAGAAACACAAACATTTAGATTTGAACAAACATTTTAGATCCTTCTGAAAAACAATCTTTTGATGATTTATCTGGGACTAAACCAGGTCTAAATCAGTACTAGGCCAAAACTGAACCAGGACTGAACCAGGACCGAACCAGAACTAGACCAGGACTGAAACAGGACTAAACCAGGACTGAACCAGGACTGAACCAGAACTAGACCAGGACTAAATCTTGTCCAGGAAACAGAAACACAAACATTTAGACTTGAACAAACATTTTAGATCCTTCTGGAAAACTGGTCGAGATTTATCTAGGACTAGACCAGGACTAGACCAGGACTAGACCAGGACTAGACCAGGACTAGACCAGGACTAGACCAGGACTGAACCATGGCTGAACCAGGACTAGACCAGGACTAAAACAGGACTAAACCAGGACTGAACCAGGACTAAAACCAGGACTAAACAAGGAATAAACCAGGATTAAAACAGGACTAAACTAGGACTAAAACAGTACTGAACCAGGACTAAAACAGGACTAGACCAGGACTAAACTAGGACTAAATCTTGTCCAGGAAACAGAAACACAAACATTTAGATTTGAACAAACATTTTAGATCCTTCTGAAAAACAATCTTTTGATGATTTATCTGGGACTAAACCAGGTCTAAATCAGTACTAGGCCAAAACTGAACCAGGACTGAACCAGGACCGAACCAGAACTAGACCAGGACTAAATCTTGTCCAGGAAACAGAAACACAAACATTTAGACTTGAACAAACATTTTAGATCCTTCTGGAAAACTGGTCGAGATTTATCTAGGACTAGACCAGGACTAGACCAGGACTAGACCAGGACTGAACCAGGACTGAACCAGGACTAGACCAGGACTAGACCAGGACTAGACCAGGACTAGACCAGGACTGAACCAGGACTAGACCAGGACTAGACCAGGACTAGACCAGGACTAGACCAGGACTGAACCAGGACTGAACCAGGACTAGACCAGGACTGAACCAGGACTAGACCAGGACTAGACCAGGACTAGACCAGGACTGAACCAGGACTAGACCAGGACTGAACCAGGACTAGACCAGGACTAGACAGGACTGAACCAGGACTAGACCAGGACTAGACCAGGACTAGACCAGGACTGACTAGACCAGGACTAGACCAGGACTGAACCAGGACTGAACCAGGACTAGACCAGGACTAGACCAGGACTGAACCAGGACTGAACCAGGACTAGACCAGGACTAGACCAGGACTAGACCAGGACTGAACCAGGACTAGACCAGGACTAGACCAGGAACCAGGACTAGACCAGGACTAACCAGGACTAGACCAGGACTAGACCAGGACTGAACCAGGACTGAACCAGGACTAGACCAGGACTAGACCAGACTGAACCAGGACTGAACCAGGACTAGACCAGGACTAGACCAGGACTAGACCAGGACTGAACCAGGACTAGACCAGGACTAGACCAGGACTGAACCAGGACTAAAGACCAGGACTAGACCAGGACTGAAAACCAGGACTAAACCAGGACTAGACCAGGACTGAACCAGGACTAAACCAGGACTAGCCTAGGACTAAAGTGGGCCAAAACTAGGACCAAAACAAAGAAATCTTAAGACTCGTACTTTGAATATAGATCGCAGTGGTGCAGTGGTTGAGTGTTGCACGTGCACCTCACAGTAAGAAGGTCCTCTGTGGAGTTTGCATGTTCTGCCTGTGTCTGTGTAGTTTCCAGAACAGCTGAGAAAGTCCTGACCCAGTGTAAAGTTTAGATGAATCACCACAGGCTGCAGTGAGGCTCTGTTAATTCAGTGAAAAGTGAAATAAAAATGTGATTCTGTTTTTAATCTTTTTGTTTTTTTTTTGTTTTTTTTTCCAGCAAACTCTGCTCCGTCAGCAGGAGAAGGTGGAGGAGCGAGTGCAGGAGATCGAGGAGCAGCTCTGCAAACTCGACTCGGACAAATGTGTGGTGGAGGTGAGGACGGGAGGGCATCTGACACACACACACGGGGGGACGGGAGGGCATCTGACACACACACGGGGGGACGGGAGGGCATCTGACACACACACGGGGGACGGGAGGCATCTGACACACACACGGGGGGACGGGAGGGCATCTGACACACACACGGGGGACGGGAGGGCATCTGACACACACACACGGGGGGACGGGAGGGCATCTGACACACACACACTGGGGGACGGGAGGGCATCTGACACACACACACGGGGGGACGGGAGGGCATCTGACACACACACGGGGGACGGGGGAGGGCATCTGACACACACACGGGGGGACGGGAGGGCATCTGACACACACACGGGGGGACGGGAGGGCATCTGACACACACACGGGGGGACGGGAGGGCATCTGACACACACACGGGGGACGGGAGGGCATCTGACACACACACGGGGGGACGGGAGGGCATCTGACACACACACCGGGGGACGGGGGGGCAGGGCATCTGACACACACACGGGGGACGGGAGGGCATCTGACACACACACGGGACGGGAGGGCATCTGACACACACACGGGACGGGGGGACGGGAGGGCATCTGACACACACACGGGGGGACGGGAGGGCATCTGACACACACACGGGGGGACGGGAGGGCATCTGACACACACACGGGGGGACGGGAGGGCATCTGACACACACACACGGGGGGGGACGGGAGGGCATCTGACACACACACGGGGGGACGGGAGGGCATCTGACACACACACGGGGGGACGGGGGCATCTGACACACACACGGGGGGACGGGAGGGCATCTGACACACACACGTGGGGGGACGGGAGGGCATCTGACACACACACGGGGGGGACGGGGGGGGGCATCTGGACACACACACGGGGGAGGGGGGAGGGCATCTGACACACACACGGGGAGGGCATCTGACACACACACGGGGGACGGGAGGGCATCTGACACACACACGGGGGGACGGGAGGGCATCTGACACACACACGGGGGAACGGAGGGCATCTGACACACACACGGGGACGGGAGGACGGGACGGGCATGACACACACACACGGGGGCATCTGACACACACACGAGGGGACGGGAGGGCATCTGACACACACACACGGGGCACGGGAGGGCATCTGACACACACACGGGGGACGGGAGGGCATCTGACACACACACGGGGGGACGGGAGGGCATCTGACACACACACGGGGGACGGGAGGGCATCTGACACACACACGGGGGGACGGGAGGGCATCTGACACACACACGTGGGGGGGCACGGGAGGGCATCTGACACACACACGGGGGGACGGGAGGGCATCTGACACACACACGGGGGACGGGAGGGCATCTGACACACACACGGGGGGACATCTGACACACACACGGGGGGGGCACGGGAGGGCATCTGACACACACACGGGGGGACGGGAGGGCATCTGACACACACACGGGGGGACGGGAGGGCATCTGACACACAGTGATGTACATACAGTGTTGGGGAGTAACAGATTACATGTACTGGAGTAATGTAATCAGAGTACAAATTATGAGTAAAAGTATTCAGTTACAGTTACTGTTTCAGTGAGTGGTAATTGGATTACAGTTACTTTGTTGAAATTAATGGATTAAACAGAGAGATTTTAACTGTTTTCACATTTTGGACTAAAACAAAATTAAAACCAGGACTAAACCAGGACTAAACCAGGACTAAACCAGGACTAAACCAGGACTAAAACCAGGACTAAAACCAGGACTAAAACTAAGGACTAAAACCAGGACTAAACCAGGACTAAAAGGACTAAACAGGACTAAACCAGGACTAAAACCAGGACTAAAACCAGGACTAAAACCAGGACTAAACCAGGACTAAAACCAGGACTAAAACCAGGACTAAAACTAAACCAGGACTAAACCAACTAAACAGGACTAAAACCAGGACTAAAACCAGGACTAAAACCAGGAACTAAACCAGGACTAAACCAGGACTAAAACCAGGACTAAACTAAACCAGGACTAAAATAGGACTAAAACCAGGACTAAAAGGACTAAAACCAGGACTAAACCAGGACTAAAAAGGACTAAGGACTAAAACCAGGACTAAAGGACTAAACGGACTAAACCAGGACTAAACCAGGACTAAACCAGGACTAAACCAGGACTAAACCAGGACTAAACCTAAACTAGGACTAAACCAGGACTAAACCAGTAAACAGTCTAAACAATATGACACTAACATTAGTGTGAACATAATTTAAAGCAACAGTGTCTCATATAAAATTCTTTCTCTATCAATAATATTTTTTATTTGTTTAAATAAAGTCTGGGTTTTTATTTTCTTTTATCAGATAAAACGTCTCATGTTCAGATCCTCGTCTTTGTTTCTTTACATTAAACAAAAGTCTGTTCATGGAGACTTGGGCTCAACAGACAATTTGAAGAAAACAAACATGAATTTACAGGATGTGGTTGGTTCATTCATGTCGTTCTCAAAAAGCACGACAATATCAAGTAATCCAAAGTATTCAGATTACATTACTCACTTTAAGTAATTTAATGGATTATGTTACAAACTACATTTTGGTGTATGTAATCTGTAATCTGTAGGGGATTACATTTTAAAAGTCACCTTCCCAACACTGTGTATATAGGGACAGGGATCTGTGACCTTAAACACTCAGAGCCGTTTGGAGCGACTCCCACAGAAAAGAAAAACACCCGGAGCCACAAAACACTTTTCGACTCTAAAATGTTTTACCTGTGGCTCTGTGTAAAAGACTAAAGTGTGTTACATTTATGAATCGATGAAACGCTGCACAGAACACGGTAAACATTTTGAACCCGAAAAAAAGTCACTCGGTTGATGCTCATTTCAAATTAAATCCTCGGTCTCTATTGGAGTCGTCCTCGTGGGAAATAAAAATCCAAACTTAAATTATCCAACCGCAGTGAACCAAAAACACGTCTGCTTCTGTGTTCCAGCATCGTTTTATCTCGTGTTCTGGAGCGTGAATCTGCCCATGTGGCATTAAACGTTCTGTTTTCTTCAGAAACTTTTCTTTTCGTGGGTCAGAGGTCATCGTTTACGACCGAAAAAAGCTCAATAATTGTTCTGCTGGTGTTGGTGCCGGTGAGTCCGGGCTGTAGATCTGTGCCGGGCGTCGCACATCGGTGCTTTGATGCTTATTTTGAGCAACAAAAATATTAAAAATGTTTAATTTTCATGTTACAAGATTTCCATATCTAATGAGCAAATGAGCAAACTAAAATAAAAATACATTGTAATTAAATACTCAGGATTTATTTTCCAAAGTCAGACTGGCACCAAGTGCTTTCGCTTAATTTAATTTCTCTCCAGTGACCAGATCAGGATTCAGAACAAACTAGATCAGACGTGTCAAACTCAAACTCAGAGGTTCAAAGTGAAAAACTTGGACCAAGTCGTGGGCCAAACTAAATATTTATTGAAAAATTTCAGCAACATCTGTTTGTTTTCTCTTCTTTCGAGACCTGTAATGTGAATGTTAAACCTTTTCTTTTTAAAATAAAATTAAACATTGAATCCAGAACAAACAGAATATAAAATAATAACAACATTTTAAATAAATAAAATAAATAATGTCTCTATAGTCTGTCTGCTCTAATACATGTTTGATATGATCTCACGGGCCAAATATAATTATATCATGAACCAAATTTGGCCCCTGTGCCTGAGTTTGACATGTCTGCACTAGACGGTTTGCACAAACCCCAGAAGTTGTAGACGGCGCACCAGCCAATCAGCTGTGAGCTGTGAAGTCATGACGTCAAACTCGTGGCGTCTGTGTCCCTTTTGTGGAACAACACAACAGAAAACAAACGTCGAGATGAACGTAGAAGAAGACAGATATTATCTGTGTTGGTGACGATTCCCCAGATCCCGAGGATTTAAAGAACAAAAAGAATGTTTGGTGAATTTTATCAAGGGGAAAGACGTTATTGTCCTTCTTCCTACGGGATTTGGTGCTTTACAAAAGTCACGACCAAACAGCAGCGATTGGTTAAATAAAAAAAAGTTCCCGCCTCCTGTCGAGTGAACGAATCCTAATGCAGCGAAAGTGAAACCGGCTGATGAATCAGATTAACAGTGAGCCACAACAAAAGGGTGAAAGAGCCACATGCGGTTCATGGGAGGGCATCTGACACACAGGGATAGAACAGAATCCTGGGAGGGCATCTGACTCTCCCACACTCACCCTGGTCTCTGTGGCGCCCCCTGCAGGACCGTGTGTGCGAGCTGAAGGAGGAGGTGCGTCTGCAGTACCAGAGGATGCACCAGGTCCTGGAGGAGGATCTGGTCCGGACTCTGGAGGCCTTGGACCGGGCCCAGTCCAGGTTCTGTCAGGAGAACTCGGCTCAGGTCCTGGCCCTGGGGGAGCAGAGACACGAGGCCCAGAAGCTCATCAGCTCCATCAACACGGTGTTCGAGAAATCAGAACAACTGAGCTTCATGAAGAACACCAAACCCGTCAAGATCCTCACAGACAGGTCAGTGCTCCGGGTTTAGTCCTGGTTTAGTCCTGGTTTAGTCCTGGTTTAGTCCTGGTCTAGACCTGGTTTCGGTTTTGTCTCACAACTGGTTTTAGTCCTGGTTTAGTCCTAGTTCAGACTTGGATTAGTTTATGTTTAGTCCTGGTTTAGTAATGGTTCAGACCTGTTTTAGTCCTGGTTTAGTCCTGATTCAGTCCTGGTTTAGTCCTGATTTAGTCCTGATTTAGACCTGGTTTAGACCTGGTTTAGACCTGGTTTCAGTCCTGGTTCAGTCCGGGTTTAGACCTGGTTTCAGTCCTGTTTCAGAACTGGTTTTAGTCCTGGTTCAGACCTGGATTAGGTCACGTTGAGTTCTGGTTTAGTCCTGGTTCAGTCCTGGTTTAGTCCTCATTCAGTCCTGGTCTAAGTCTTGGTTCAGTCCTGTTTTCAGTCCTGATTTTAGTCCTGGTTTAATCCTGGTTTTAGTCCTGGTTCAGACTTGGTGTACTCCTGGTTTAGTTCTTGTTTAGTACTATTTTAGTCCTGTCTTAGGTCTTGTTCAGTCCTGGTTTAAGTCCTGGTTTAGACCTGGGTTTAGTCCTTCATTTTTAGTCCTGGTTTAGTCCTGGTTTAGTGCTTTTTATAGTCCTGGTTTAAGTTCGGGTTTAGTCCTGGTTTTAGTCCTGGTTTTGTCCTGGTTTAGTCCTGGTTTAGTGCTTTTTATAGTCCTGGTTTAAGTTCGGGTTTAGTCCTGGTTTTAGTCCTTGTTTTAGTCCTGGTTTAGTCCTAGTTTTTAGTCCTGGTTTAGTCCTGGTTTTAGTCCTGGTTTTAGTCCTGGTTTAGTCCTGGTTTAGTGCTTTTTATAGTCCTGGTTTAAGTTCGGGTTTAGTCCTGGTTTAGTCCTGGTTTAGTCCTGGTTTAGTCCTGGTTCAGACCTGGTTCCTCACATGTTCTCCTGCTCGTGTTTCAGGTCTCAGGCGTGTGTTGGCTCCACTCTTCCTCCGTACAAAGTTGGAAACCTCAACTCCAAACTGTTCCTGTCTGAGATTTCCAAGAGAGAGAAGAGCCTCCGCAGAACACTGGAAAGTGAGTGCAGCTCTGACCAACTTTTAGAACCAAAACCATGTGACCAGTTAGTTTATGTTAATATTTGGAAGTTATAAGCTTGGATCTTTTAAAATAAATGGAGGGTGCTGCTGCTTGTTGCTGACTTGAGTTGACGTAGAGACTCTCACTGGTACTTCAGCGAAAAAAATCCCTTTGGCCGAGAAAGGATTTTCAAATTTCAAAGTGTCGGATTTTGTGCCGATTTTTACCTCAAAATCCTTCATTTGTCTTAAAAAACAGCTTGTTAATCGTTCGCTCCGGCCGCGCTTTACCTCCGCTCGCTCTGATACACGCATCAAGAATCTCGGACTTCTGGTCATCGCGCAATTCAGACCGGGAAGGATTTTTCGAAAAAGTGAGCATCAAACCTCCGTGTTTGTTTTCCCAGTGGGATGTGTCTATTGTCAAAGTCGATCTTTTCAAGTCTTTTGAACCATATCACTTTTGTTTCTGGTTCTGATATTGTCATGTTTTAGTTTTGGGATTCGGACATCGTTAATTGTTGTGGTTGTTGGATCCAAACGGCGGAAAACGACTCCAGAAATGTGTTTGTGAACTTCATAAATACAAAAGTGAATCAGATGTGTGTGACTCAAACCTCCGTTCAAACTGTTTCTCTTCCCAACGGAATTGAAAAATAGTGAAAGGTGAAGGTGATGGTAAATGATGATAAAATAACAGTTTTCTTCATTATTTGTCTCCAAAACCAAAATGAAAAAACGGATAACGATTCGTTTTTTCAGTTTTCGATTTTGTGTTTAAATGAAAAATGGAAAAAAGGGATAACGGATTAAAACAGGACTAAACCGTTTTCAGTCCCGGTCTGGTCCTGGTCTGGTCTTAGTCGTGGTCTGGTCCCGGTCTGGTCCCGGTGTCGGTCTCAGTCGCAGTCTCAGTCCCGATCTGGTCCCGGTCTTGGTCTTGGTCCTGGTCCTGGTGTCGGTCTCAGTCGCAGTCGCAGTCTCGGTCCCGTTCTCTGTCCTGGTCTCGGTCCCAGTCTCAGTCCCGGTCTGGTCCTGGTCTGGTCTCAGTCGTGGTCTGGTCCCGGTGTCAGTCCCGGTCTCGGTCGCAGTCTCGGTCCCGGTCTCAATCACGTCTGGTCCTGGTCTGATCTCGGATTCCGTCCTGGTCTGGTCCCGGCCTCTGTCCTGGTTTAAGGCAAGGCAAGTTTATTTGTACAGCACAATTCGTACACAAAGTAATTCAAAGTGCTTTACAGAATAAGAAATACATTAAAATCATAATAAAAACAAATCGAAACATAAATAATCATGAAGATTAAAATTAAAAAAGAGAGACATAAATTGGAGAGAAGAGTGCGGAATGAAAACCTTTCAGTTATTTGCACAGTTAAACTAAGTCTAAGTCTAAGTCCTGGTCTCAGTCCCAGTCTGGTTCCTGTTTGGTCCCGGACCTGGTTTAGTCCTGGTTCAGTTTTTTCCATTTTTTATTTAAACACAAAATCGAAAACTGAAAAAACAAATCATTATCTGTTTTTTCATTTTGGTTTTAGAGACAAATAATGAAGAAAATAGTTTTTGTTTTCTTATTTTTGGTTTTATTTTGAAAAACGAATGAACGAATGACACACAGATTCTTACAGTTCTATTCTTCTGTCTTTATCTCACTGTATGTCTCTGTCTCTCTGCAGCCCCCCTGACCCCTCCCTCGGCGTTCCTTCAGTCCGTCGCGGCGTTCCCCAGCGGCCACGGCTCCGGATCGGCCGAAAAGCGCAAACACTCATCCGCCTTCCCGGAATCCTCCTCTGCGTCCTCCTCTTCCTCCAACAAAACCAGCTACAAAGACTCGTCGTCGTCCTCCTCCTCCTCCTCCGCGCCCAAGCAGCCGTACCTGGGCACCTCCTCTTCCGGCGAGGGCCAGTCCACCAATCAGCCGCAGCAGCCTCCCCTGGCCCCGCCCTGCATCAACGACTCCGCCACCTCCTCGTCCAATCACCACTCGGGATCCGTCTTTAGCTCCTCCCACTTCCCGGGCAGCAGCGGCGGCGGGGGCGGGTCGTCGCACGCGTCGCAGCTGCCCCAGTACGGCGGCCGCAAGATTCTAGTTTGCACCATGGATAACTGCTACTGCTCCGGTGTCCCGTCGGTTTCGGGGCACCGCGGGCACCCTCCGTACCCCAGATCGGGCTCGTTTCCCTGGGTGAGCGCGCAGGATTACCCCCCTCCGCCGCCGCCGCCCGGTCTGGCCTCCGGGGGGCCCACCATGCAGGGACTGGCCGTACGAGATTGGATCGACGCTTCGCAAACCCACAGACACGCCGACTTCTACGGTCTCTACGGACAACCATCCACCAAACACTACGTCACCAGTTAACACAGACCGGGCGCGGCGCTGCGGAAACTCAATATGTCTGAGCTGAAATCACTTGAATTCGGAATTTTAACAGATTTGAGTCGTGCGGACGAGATTATTTTGAGTTCTCACAATTTAGTTTTTCACTTCGGAATTACTTAAAGGTGTTATGTTACTCAAAATTTACTCTTATAATGTTGTTTCCTCCACAAAAACAGACCTGGAGTTGTGTTTTCTTTAATTTATTTTTCGTCTGTCTACATCTCCAAACCCCAAAACACTCAGTTGCACCTTGTGATGTCATGAAGTGGTCGTTTTCGGTCAAATTCCCGAGCGAAAATCATCTGAATGATTCTAGTGAAGCTTGCATGGAGTTTAAAAACACACTGGAGCACTTCCTGTACCATTACATAATGACATCACAAAGTGGAACAGAGCATTTTGAGTTTGAAAGAAAAACACAACGCTCTGTTCCACCTTGTGACGTCATGAAGGGGTCGTTTTTCGGTCGAATTCCCGAGTGAAAATCATCCGAATGATTCTAGGGAAGGTGCGTGGAGTTTAAAAACACACTGGAGCACTTCCTGTATGACCACATGATGACATCACAAGGTGGAGCAAAGCGTTTTCAGTCTGAATGAAAAACACAACCCTCTGTTCACCTTGTGATGTCATGAAGCGATTGATTTTCGGTCGAATTCCCGAGCGAAAATCATCCGAATGATTCTAATGAAGGTGTGTGGAGTTTAAAAACACACTGGAGCACTTCCTGTATCATTACGTAATGACATCACAAAGTGGAGCATAGCGTTTTCAGTTTGAGAGAAGAACTCAGAAACAAAACACAACTCCAGGTCTGTTTGTGATTAAGAAACAAGAAAAAAATAGAAATTGTTATTAACCTGAATTCTCTTTTTTAAATAAAAATTGTAAAAAAAAAAAAAAAAATAACACTTAAAATTAATTTACTGTTCAATAAATGTGTCTTAAATTAAGTATAAACATCTTGAAACCACTTTGAAATACAAAAATACAAAAAAAAAATTTAAAAAATCAATGTTTAATAAAAAAATAACACAAAAGTCAAATTCATGATTCTGAATTCAAGTGATTTCAGCTTGTGTAGATATTTGATTTTTGCAGAAAACAAAACGTCAACAGACAAAATGTAGTGATTTTATGATCTGGTAAACGATTTCCACACTGACTTTTTAAAAAAAAATTATGCAACGAGCACTTCTGCAAAAAAAAAAACAAAAAAAAAAAAAACCTTTGACCTTTGACCTTTGAACATATGCATTGGATTAACAGGCTGCCCTTTTTGACCTATGCACTTGAAAATGAAATCTGCAGCACTAAGTTTGAGTACTTAAAATACTTAAGTTTACATGGAAAAATGTGTAGTTTGCGTGTTCTGCCTGCGTCTGGGTGGGTTTGAGTAATCCTCCAGATAATTTTGAATTTTTAGCCCTTTTTTCTAAACATTCCCTTCTAAAAATGACTCTTTCAAAATAAAATGATAACAAGTATTTTTCAGCCCAGTAACAGTTGGTACAAGCTCAAATAAATAAAGAAGCAGAGTTTAATATTTTCTTTTCAAAGCTTTACAAATTAGTTTTGAAATTTCAAAAACGCAATGATAATTAGAGTTTATAAAATTGTAAAATGTCCAACTTAAAACATCCAATTATAGATTTGTTACCAAGTTTCAGCGCTGGTATTCCCTTATTTACAAAAAAACCCTCAAAATTTCAAAATGGTCACAAAACAATATAAAAATTTTAATTTCTTTTCCAATTTCAGTTTAGACCATTTCATTTTAGATATTTTAGATTTGAGTTCATATCAGTTGGAATAAACAGAAAATTTGAATTTATGCATGACGCGCAAATTCAGTTTATCAAAATACAACTTCCAAAACACAAACCTTCCTCTTCTAGCTTCAGACTTGCTTTGATGCAAATGAAAATATATATTTTTTTAAATTTAAATGGCTTCCACAAAACACAAACATTTTAATTTGTTGGTCGTTTTTTATTTAGACCTGCAAATTAACCTAATATTTCAAAATAAGATAACTTTTAATTCTTTTAGAAATTGAAATGCAAAACAAACCAAGTCTTAAATTTTGTTTTTCAAAATTTTAAAATGGTTTCTACAAAAATTTTACTTTCTTATTGTAAGGCTTTTCAGTTTGGCTTTCAAAATAAGACAACTTTTAACTTGAGACTTTGTTAAAGAAACTGAAATAAATGGACAGTCTTTAATAATCTTAAATTGTCTTAAATTTTGTTTTTCAAAATTTCAAAACGCCTTCCACAATACACAAAACTTTAAATTTGTTGCTCTTCATGTAGAGACTTGGTGTAATATCAGTTTAAAAAAATAGAAAATATACAAAGTTATGCACCTGCAAATTTAGCTAACCTTTCAAAATAAGACAACGTTTAACTCTTTTAGCTTCAGGCTTGGTTAAAGAAACTGAATCAAAGAAACCAAGTTTTCAAATTCTTTCAAAACGGCTCCCACAAAACACAAAAATTTGCCTTTTTTTGTTTCAGTTTGGGCTTAATCTATGAACAAGTCAACCTAAACCTTTCAAAATAAAACAGTGTTGAATTCTTTTAACTTCAGACTTGGGTTGGTAAAAGTAATTGAAACCCACCAAGTCTTAAATTCTTTCAAAATGACTTCCACAAAACACAAAAATGTGACTTTTTTATTTCAGTTTAGGCTTAATATATGAACTTAAGACCTGCAAATTAACCTAAACCTTTCAAAATAAGACAACTTTTAACTCTTTTAGCTTCAGACTTGGTTAAAGAAACTGACGTAAACAAACAAACAAACACACAAAAAAAGAAACAGGTCTGAAATTTCGTTTCTCAAAATTTCCAAATATCTTCTACAAAACACAAAAATTTGACTTTCTTGTTTCAGTTTGGGCTTAATATATGAACAAATTAACCTAAAACTTTCAAAATAAAACAGTGTTGAACTCTTCTAGCTTCAGACTTGGGTTGGTAAAAGTAATTGAAACCCACCAAGTCTTAAATTCTTTCAAAATGGCTTCCACAAAACCCAAAAATTTGACTTTTTTGTTTCAATTTGGGCTTAATATATGAACTTAAGACCTGCAAATTAACCTAAACTTTTCAAAATAAGACAACTTTTAACTCTCTTAGCTTCAGACTTGGGTTGATAAAAGAAACTGAAACCCACCAAGTCTTAAATTCTTAACGTTTTGCAGAATTTCCAAACGGTTTCCAGAAAAAGAAACATAAACTAACTACATTTTTGCATCTGTTGACGTTTAAAAACACCAAATAAAAACAGCACACGCGAGACTGTATCGGCACCATTGTAACGACACGTCTGGACTTCGGGGGCAGGGTACAACTCTTCACTCTACGTTCTAATATTCTGTCATCGTTGTTTTATTATTATTATTATTATTAATGTCATATTAAATGTTTAGATTCCCTTTGGCACGAGGTTGGATCAGACACTGTAAGGCCGAGAAGCATTTATTTTTATTTATAATTTTAAAAAAAGCAGATAGAGATTTAAAAGTTAGCGTTTGGTTCGTAATATATATTTGTCATTTGTCGTTCCATTGTTACGTTTGAGGAATACGAGCGATACGTTTACATGGACGTTCTACGGTGTGTCAGATGCCCTCCCGTGTACGCAAAAGCCGTCGCACACTACAGGAGAATTTGTCGGATTTTGGCGACGATTTTGCTTTTCCGCGAGTTCAGGGAGGCGTGAACTTGAGAAACCACTAAACATCAGCAACGCAACGATAAAAGCCGATAAAACAGAGCGTCAGACGGAGTGACGGACGCAAAGACGCAAAATACAAACTCAGGATACGGCGAAAATAAGAAGAAAACTTTATTATTCGCCTCTCGTGAAGTAAAAAATTGGAATTTGTTGTTCACTTTCCACTTAAAAATTTGCAAATCAACCTAACCTTTCAAAATAAGACAGCTTTGAACTCAATTTTAACTTCAGACTTGCGCTGGTAAAAGAAATTTAAATCTTAAAATTGTCGAAGTGTTTCAAAATTTCAAAATGGTTTCCACGAAACACAAAAAATTTGACTTTCTTGTTGTAAGGTTTTCAGTTTGGACTTAATATATGAACTTATGACCTGCAAATTAACCTAAACCTTTCAAAATAAGACGACGTTGAACTCTTAACTTTCAGACTTTCAAATCAATTGATTCTTAAATGGCTGACGCTTTTCAAATTTTCAAAATGGCTTCCACAAAACACAAAAATTTTACTTTCTTGCTGTAAGACTTTAAATTTTTTTACAGGTTAATTTTAGATAAAGACTTGGGTTAATAAATGAACAAATTAACCTAAACCTTTCAAAATAAGACAACTTTTAACTCTTTTAGCTTCAGGCTTAGTTAAAGAACTAAAACAAACAAACCAAGTCTTTAAATTCTTCCAAAATGGTTTCCACAAAAAGCAAAAATATGACTTTCTTGTTCGAAGGTTTTCAGTTTGGACTTAATATATGAACTTATGACCTGCAAATTAACCTAAACCTTTCAAAATAAGACGACGTTGAACTCTCTTAGCTTCAGACTTGCGTTGGTAAAAGAAATTTAAATCAACCAGGTCTTAAAATTGTTGACTTTTTTCAAAATTTCAAAATGTCTTTAAATTCTAAGTCTTTAAATTCTTTCAAAACGGCTTCCACAAAACACAAAAATTTGACTTTCTTGTTCTAAGGTTTTCAGTTTGGACTTGACCTGCAAATTAACCTAAACCTTTCAAAATAAGACAACAGCCAATCAGCGAAGAGCCAGACATTCTGTGTTGGCAACGATTCCCGAGATTGAAGATTTAAAGCCGGAACAAATAAAATGTTCAGTGAATTTTATCATGAATTTTATTGTCCTTCTTCCTACTATTTGGGAAAAGCTTAATATACCAGTTATCCCCGTTATTGGTTAAATTTAAAAAGTACCCGCCTACTGTCGAGCGAACGAATCCTAATGCTGCGAGGTCAGACGGTTTCCACAAAGTGAAACTGTCTGATGAATCAGGCTAATAGTGACTGTACTTTATCTCTGATCTTTTACACTTTAAAAATCACATATCAGAAGTTTTGCACCACATTTCACAAATAATAATAACACAATTTTGACTTGTATTTAAACTAAAATCTAAGAAGTGTGGAGTTTGATCTTTTGAACACTTACGAGTCTCAAAGCGAGTCGTTTTACTGTAGACAGGAAACAGTTTACGAGATCACGGTCACAACTTTGTGTCTTTGCGATCGGAGATTTAAAGTCTGATCAGATTCTCCTCGTGTCTGTGGTTTAAAAATCGTTCAAGACCGAAAAATCCTGTAGTGTGTGACGACCTTAACATCTTCCTATAAACCCGCTGTAGTGTTAATCTGCAGATGTAATAGTTGCACTTTTTCACCGAATCCGTTTTAGTTTTTTATTTAGTTCCATGTAAACGTATCGCTGCTTTTCGTATTGTTTATATTTTGATCTCTAATTTTTTAAAAACGGCCGACAGTCTTTTCTTAAGGGGCGCGATTCAAAACTCTCTCAGAACTTACCTCTCCCTCTCCGCCGAGTTGGAAGCGCTCGTCATTACCGCGTTTTGTCCACCAGGAGGCGGCGCACTCTCAAAATACAGAACACTAATTGTCCTCTGTAGGCAACGTAGCACTTTTAGCATCAATTTATTTTTGTTAAAAGGAAAAAAAAAAGACTCTGTACTTGATTTTTACCGTCTTAAATACGTAAAAAAAAAAAACCCCAAAAAAACAGATCTAGTTCATTGTAAAGTGGTCAAAATTTCGTTTATAAGCACTTTTCACAACTTTCAGAGACCAGAGCGGAGTTTTAATTACGACAACTAGCATGCCAACGTGCACTTCCTGATCCTAAGAGTGTAAAACGCTTCGTAATTTGATGCAGAAAGTACACGGCGGACTTATTTTGACCTCAAGAGAGACACAAAAAATCAAGTACAGGGTCTTTAAGATAAACAGAGATCTTTTTTTTTAATCTGTTTGAAATTTTAAAAATGTTTTCACAAATTTTCAACAGCAAAAAAAGGCTAGAATACGAGAATTCTAGTTTAAAACAACAAAAAATAATGTTCGTCCAAGTAGCAAGTTCGGAAAAGTGCAAAATCTGGTAATGACGAGCAGCGGCCACATCCCATTTCTGTTTTGTTGTTGTTGTCGTTGTTCCTCGATTCCTCGCCTGTCAATCACGTCTACCGAGCGGAAAGAGCCAATCGGGAGCCTGCGTCTGCTCCGTGGGCGGGGCTCACACGTGACGAATCGAGCGCGGGACTTGAAACGGGACGCGGCCGATTTCGTTTTTTTTTCGAGAACGGCGGCGCGTCCAAGCTCTGTTTTTTCTGCACTTCCTTCCTTTACAAAGGCTTGAACACAAAAACGATCTTCCACGATTTTCCTCAAACAAAACCGACGCCTAGTTTTGGGATTTTGTCGCCTGGACTTTGGACGTTAACGGGACAAAACCGAAACTAAACGATAGCAAGTTTTTGCATTTTTAAGAGGCGATTTTGGAAAAACCTCTTGTTCCACGAAAGAAAGCACTCCTCCCTTCCAACAAAATGGGGACTTCCTGTTGCAAGGCGTCCCTTTCAAAATAAGACGCCCTATTTCCGTCGGCTTAATGACTTTGGTTGAAGGAAAACGGACACGAAATTAGCATCGGGACAGGTTTCGAGGGATGCTAAAATTGTACTTCCTTTTTCGGTTAAGCACATTTTAAGACTCTGGACTTGTCGGCGGCTGAAACTGCGAACGGACTCACGAAGCGAAACAACGACGTTCGGATTAGAAAACTTTAAAAAATGAATTGAGGCAGTTTTAAGGTGAAACCGAGGAGGACGGCGGCGTAGTTTTATTAACGTTTTTGTAAAAATCAAACTTGTGATGGTGCGATTGAAGAGGAGACGGACGAGGAGGTAAAAGTTGGATAGAGACGAGACAAAACAAGGTAATTTTTTTGTAAATATTTTGTGAAATGGAAGAAAATTTGGAGAAGGGTCCAAATAAAAAGTTGAAAGAAAAGTTTGTTTTGGTTTCTTGAAAATGATTTCTCGTTAAAGTGAGTGTAAAGGTGCGTTGTGGAACTTTTCTCGAGGGTAGAGGGTCCATTAAACGCTTTTTGCTTTGTCTGGAATGTTCCGCAGTGTGGCTTTAAACCTTTCTATCTTCACGGAGACCAAACCGGACCAAGTTACAGGTCAGATCTGTGGAGAGGCGACCCCACTCACAGTATTTTTTGAGCTATTAATCCACCCGTAATTGAATAAATGTAAAGTAGAGCTGTATAAAGTCACACTGCGGAACATTCCAGATAAAGCAATGTCGTCTCCATGGAAACGAGCAGGCGACGGACCCGAAACCGAAAAGTCGTCGTGTTCCGATGTCGTTTCCTCGTCAAAAACAGAGCTGGAGTTGTGTTTTGTTTCATTCACACGTTTGAGTAAATCTTTATTATGAGTCTGTTTACATCTGCAAAGCTCTAAACGCTCTGTTCCACCCTGTGATGTCATCCAGTGGTAGTTTTAAAGTGAACAGCTCCTTTTACTTTTAGTTCAGGAGAGACTGGTGATTCCAGGGCCAGGGAAAGTGCTGTTTAGTCCTGGTTTGGTCCTAGTTTAGTCCTGGTTTAGATGTGTTTTAGACCTGGTCTAAGCCTGGTTCTGTCCCGGTTGAATCCTGGTCTAGTCATGGTCTAGTTCTGGTCTAGTTCTGGTTCAGTGATGGTTGAATTCTGGTTTAGACCTGTTTTAGACCTGGTTCAGTCCTTTTTTCATCCTGGTCTAGTCCTGGTTTAGTCCCGATTCAGTCCTGATTGAGTCCTGGTTCAGTCCTGTCTTAGTCCTGGTCTAGCCCTGGTTCAGTCATGGTTGAATCCTGGTTTAGTCCTGATTCAGTCCTTTTTTTGTCCTGGCCTAGTCCTGGTTCAGTCCTGGTCTAGTCATGGCCTAGTTGGTCTAGCATTGGTCTAGTCCTGGTCTAGTCCTAGTCTTATCCTGGTCTAGATCTGGTCTAGCCCTGATTCAGTCCTGCCTTAGACCTGGTCTAGTCCTGGTTCAGTCCTTTTTTCCTGGTCTATCCCTGGTCTAGTCCTAGTTGAATCCTGTTTTAATCCTAGTTCAGTCCATTTTTTTTTTTTGTGTACTGGTCTAGTCCTGGTTTAGTCGTAGTTCAGTCCCGGCTTAGTCCCAATTCAGTCCTCATTGAGTTCTGGTTTAGACCTGGTTTGGTCCCGGTTCAGTCCTGGTGTAGTCTTGGTTGAATCCTGGTTTAGACCTGTTTTAGACCTGGGTTTGTTCTGGTTCATTTATTTTTTTCGTCCTGGTCTAGTCCTGGTCTAGTCCTGGTTTAGTCCTGGTTTAGTCCTGGTCTAGTCCTGGTCTAGTCCTGGTTTAGTCCTGGTTTAGTCCTGGTCTAGTCCTGGTTTAATCCTGGATTAATCCTGGTCTAGTCCTGGTCTAGTCCTGGTTTCGTCCTGGTTTAGTCCTGGTTTAGTCCTGGTCTAGTCCTGGTCTAGTCCTGGTTTAGTCCTGGTTTAGTCCTGGTCTAGTCCTGGTCTAGTCCTGGTTTAGTCCTGGTTTAGTCCTGGTTTAATCCTGGTCTAGTCTTGGTCTAGTCCTGGTTTAGTCCTGGTTTAGTTCTGGTCTAGTCCTGGTTTAGTCCTGGTCTAGCCCTGGTCTAGCCCTGGTTTAGTCCTGGTCTAGTCCTGGTTTAGTCCTGGTTTAATCCTGGTCTAGTCCTGGTCTAGTCCTGGTTTAGTCCTGGTCTAGTCCTGGTCTAGTCCTGGTCTAGTCCTGGTCTAGTCCTGGTTTAGTCCTGGTTAGTCCTGGTCCTGGTCTAGTCCTGGTCTAGTCCCTGGTCTAGTCCTGGTTTAGTCCTGGTTTAGTCCTGGTCTAGTCCTGGTTTAGTCCTGGTTTAATCCTGGTCTAGTCCTGGTCTAGTCTGGTCTGGTCTTAGTCCTGGTTAGTCCTGGTTTAGTCCTGGTTTTAGTCCTGGTTTAGTCCTGGTCTAGTCCTGGTGTCCTGGTTTAATCCTGTCTAGTCTTGGTCTAGTCCTGGTTTAGTCCTGGTTTAGTTCTGGTCTAGTCCTGGTTTAGTCCTGGTCTAGTCCTGGTCTAGCCCTGGTTTAGTCCTGGTCTAGTCCTGGTTTAATCCTGGTCTAGTCCTGGTCTAGTCCTGGTCTAGTCCTGGTCTAGTCCTGGTTTAGTCCTGGTCTAGTCCTGGTCTAGCCCTGGTTTAGTCCTGGTCTAGCCCTGGTTTAGTCCTGGTCTAGTCCTGGTTTAGTCCTGGTCTAGTCCTGGTCTAGTCCTGGTCTAGCCCTGGTCTAGCCCTGGTTTAGTCCTGGTCTAGTCCTGGTCTAGTCCTGGTTTAATCCTGGTTTAATCCTGGTCTAGTCTTGGTCTAGTCCTGGTTTAGTCCTGGTCTAGTCCTGGTCTAGTCCTGGTTTAGTCCTGGTCTAGTCCTGGTCTAGTCCTGGTCTAGTCCTGGTTTAGTCCTGGTCTAGTCCTGGTCTAGTCCTGGTCTAGCCCTGGTCTAGCCCTGGTTTAGTCCTGGTTTAGTCCTGGTCTAGTCCTGGTCTAGTCCTGGTTTAATCCTGGTCTAGTCCTGGTCTAGTCCTGGTTTAGTCCTGGTTTAGTCCTGGTTAGTCCTGGTCTAGCCCTGGTTTAGTCCTGGTCTAGTCCTGGTCTAGCTCTCATTTAGTCCTGGTCTAGCCCTGGTTTAGTCCTGGTCTAGTCCTGGTCTAGCTCTCATTTAGTCCTGGTTTAGTCCTGGTCTAGTCTGGTCTAGTCTAGTCCTGGTCTAGTCCTGGTCTAGTCCTGGTCTAGTTTCCCTGTACACATCATAAACTGTATAAACCTCATCTAAATGATTCTCGTGAAGGTGTTTGGACTTTAAAAACACGACGGAGCATTTCCTGTATCACCCCATGACGTCACAAGGTGGAACAGAGCGTTTTCCGTTCGAGAGAAGTTGTATTTGTGCCGAAAACATCTGTGAACGAAACAAAACCCGACTCCAGGTCTGTGACGAGGAAACGACATCAGAAAACGACGAAACGCGAACCCTTTTACTTTGGTCGTGTCCCTGAGCTGGAGACGGGCTAACCACTCTGCCACTCTGCCACTGCTCCCGTCCTGCTCCCGTCCTGCTCCCGTCCTGCTCCCGTCCTGCTCCCGTCCTGCTCCCGTCCTGCTCCTGTCCTGCTCCTGTCCTGCTCCTGCTCCTGCTCCCTGCTCCTGCTCCTGCTCCTGTCCTGCTCCCGTCCTGCTCCCGTCCTGCTCCCGTCCTCTGCTCCGTCCTGCTCCCGTCCTGCTCCTGCTCCTGCTCCTGCTCCTGCTCCTGTCCTGCCTGCTCCTGTCCTGCTCCTGTCCTCCTGCTCCTGTCCTGCCTCCTGCTCCTGCTCCCGTCCTGCTCCCGTCCTGCTCCCTCCTCCTGCTCCTGCTCCCCTGCTCCCGTCCTGCTCCCGTCCTGCTCCCGTCCTGCTCCTGTCCTGCTCCCGTCCTGCTCCCGTCCTGCTCCTGCTCCTCCTGTCCTGCTCCTGCTCCTGCTCCCGTCCTGCTCCTGCCTCCTGCTCCTGCTCCTGCTCCTGCTCCTGCTCCTGCTCCCGTCCTGCTCCTCCTGTCCTGCTCCCCTGCTCCTGCCTCCCTGTCCTGCTCCCGTCCTGCTCCCGTCCTGCTCCCGTCCTCCTGCTCCCGTCCTGCTCCTCCTGCTCCCGTCCTGCTCCTGTCCTGCTCCCGTCCTGCTCCTCCTGCTCCCGTCCTGCTCCTCCTGCTCCTGCTCCTGCTCCTGCTCCTGTCCACTCTCCTGTCCTGCTCCTGCCCACTGCTCCTGCTCTGCTCCTGTCCTGCTCCTGTCCTGCTCCTGCTCCTGCTCCTGTCCTGCTCCTGTCCTGCTCCCGTCCTGCTCCCGTCCTGCTCCCGTCCTGCTCCTGTCCTGCTCCTGTCCTGCCCTCCTGCTCCTGTCCTGCTCCTGTCCTGCTCCCGCCCACAGATTTCCGTGGAATCTTAATTAAATTCTTTTACGAATCATGACGGGCCCGTTTTTTTGTACTGGTCTAGTCCTGGTTTAGTCCCAGTTCAGTCCTCATTGAGTTCTGTTTTAGACCTGGGTTTGTCCTGGTTCATTTATTTTTTTCGTCCTGGTCTAGTCCTGGTTTAGTCCTGGTTTAGTCCTGGTTTAGTCCTGGTCTAGTCCTGGTCTAGTCCTGGTTTAGTCCTGGTTTAGTCCTGGTTAGTCCTGGTCTAGTCCTGGTTTAGTCCTGGTTTAGTTGTCCTGGTCTAGTCCTGGTTTAGTCCTGGTCTAGTCCTGGTTTAGTCCTGGTCTAGTCCTAATTTAATCCTGGTCTAGTCCTGGTCTAGTCCTGGTTTAGTCCTGGTCTAGTCCTGGTTTAGTCTTGGTCTAGTCCTAATTTAATCCTGGTCTAGTCCTGGTCTAGTCCTGGTTTAGTCCTGGTTTAGTCCTGGTCTAGTCCTGGTCTAGTCCTGGTCTAGTCCTGGTTTAGTCCTGGTCTAGTCCTGGTTTAGTCCTGGTTTAGTCCTGGTCTAGTCCTGGTTTAGTCCTGGTCTAGTCCTGGTTTAGTCCTGGTCTAGTCCTAATTTAATCCTGGTCTAGTCCTGGTCTAGTCCTGGTTTAGTCCTGGTCTAGTCCTGGTCTAGTCCTGGTCTAGTCCTGGTCTAGTCCTGGTCTAGTTTCCCTGTACACATCATAAACTGTATAAACCTCATCTAAATGATTCTCGTGAAGGTGTTTAGACTTTAAAAACACGACAGAGCATTTCCTGTATCACCCCATGACGTCACAAGGTGGAACTTATGATGCTCCCATCCTGCTCCCGTCCTGCTCCTGTCCTGCTCCCGTCCTGCTCCCCCTGCTCCTGCTCCCGCCCACAGATTTCCGTGGAATCTTAATTAAATTCTTTTATGAGTCATGGGCCCGTTGGTCTGGACAAAGGGCCGTTTAAGCGCCGGGAGTGAGAGGATCTCGGGGAGGATCTCGGGGAGTCCACAGGACGCTTCACTCGAGGTT